GATTATAGACTAGTAATAGGTCATCCAATCAGAATGCAGCATTGATGATTATAGACTAGTAATAGGTCATCCAATCAGAATGCAGCATTGATGATAGACCACTAGTTGGACTTGACTTAAAACTAGGATATTTGTACCCGATCCAGGCTTTCTCCTGCAATATTTGTACTCTATTGAATATAATTGGAAAATAAATGATTAAAGCATTGTCTTTACCTCCTGGCCCTCTCTGTTGGCTGTATGCAAGTCATGTTCCTGATCACTTGTCTTGTCTTTTCTCCTTTGTCTTAATGTATTAGCATTTWTATGTTCTTCTTGTGATTTTGAGGATTCCTGGATCATTTCTTCTTCTTGCTCTTCATCTGAACTTGAATGGGTATCTTCAATATAATCTAGTAAACAATCTGGGTCCATTTCATCTGTGTCRACCTCATCATGTGCCTGACCACATGAGCAAATATTTGGTACTGGACCACTCTGTAAATTTAATTAGGAAAGTTGATAATGCTTATAAGTACATAGTCAATRAACATTATTCATGGTAAACATGACGGCAATTCCCATATGATTGTCTACATGTATTAGTATACTGGTAAACAAATATAAGTGGACTCAAATTGGCTAAGCTACTTTTTTAAAAATTTTGAATAACTTTACTACTGATAGCAGAGTAAATCATATATTATAGCTAAGCTAAGCTACTAGWGGTCTAGCCATTTCTCAAAAAAAAGGTTTTTAATCAGAAAAATAAAATAAAATGAAAATAAAGTAATGTTTCTTTTAGTTTGTTTATTCTTATCATAAACAATTCCTAGCTCCCTTACTTCCTTATGCCTGACAATATTAATTGTTTTTCAATTAACCATGTGATCACTCAGAGCAAACACTGGAATTGAGGAAAACTCACCCCAAGTCTGTGACCCTCTCCCTTCCAGTTGGGGTGGAACTTCTGAGTTTCTTTCTGTTTTTTCAGAAGTTGAGCTTCTTGCTTTGGTTTCATGACATGTTCTCTGTAATCCTGATTCTGGGGTAATCAAGATAATAAAATTAATATAAATACACTACTGACTATTGACTGTCTGAATGACTGACTGACTGACTGACTGACTGACTGACCGACCAACTGACTGATTGACTGAATGACCAACTGGGCATGACTGACTGACTGACTGACTGGCTGACTGACTGACTGACTGACTGACTGACTGACCGACCAACTGACCGATTGACTGAATGGCTGACTGACCAACTGGGCATGACTGACTGACTGACTGACTGGCTGACTGACTGACTGACTGACTGACTGACTGACTGACTGACTGACTGACCAACTGACTGAATGACTGACTGATGGAACGACTGACTGAATGACTGACTGTACACTGACTGACTGACTGACCAACTGACTGAATGACTGACTGATGGAACGACTGACTGAATGACTGACTGTACACTGACTGACTGACTATACACTCACTGAATGACTGATTGGATGGATGGATGAATGAATAAATGAATGGAATAGAATAAATGAAATGAATGAATAAGTGCTAAATTATAAAACAATAATTCCACATTCAAACAGCCAAGGGAACTAAAACTTGAAATAATTTTGTACTGCAGAGAAGTTCCACAATAACACGGTCTTAAAAGTCAGCTACCGGTGGTTGATCCCGGGTATACATAGCCTATCATTCCACCAGCTTCATAATTATAGAAGAATCAATAAATAAATTAAATTAAAAAAAACCAGAAATAACAGTGCCTTCTAATTTGTCAAGAGTAGCTCCTACTTCAAAAATTACTGAATCCTCTTTAATTATCCATTATTACACATAGCTAGCTCCATACAGTATTGAAAAACCAAAGTTCACAAGTTTGTGAACTACTGTACTAATCAATGCAACTCACCCTTTCATTAAAAATAGCTTGTTTCTTCAAGCTAGCTCTCTCTTTTCTCCTACTTATCTCTTCTTGGCTGAATTCTAATGCATAAACAAATACAAAATAATCACCTGCTTTATTCAGGTAGACGTATTTTACAAATYAATATTATTTTTTACACAAGGTTTGAGTACAAAAAAATTGGGATAAGCTTTAAAAGCTTAAATGTTCAGTTGCATAGAATTATATATTAAATCAAATCGATATTTAGGTGCACCAGATGTTGCATTATGTAATCTTATATGTACACATATGACGTATGCATATATCCGGTTATCAAAGTAACCTTAGTTAGTTTTTACTGAGTCTTGATTAAAAGCTCATGTACTGCTATACACGTGTGTGATTACTCCTGCTAGAAGTAACTAACCAATACGATATTGGAACACCAGATACGCGTTATCACAAGCAAGAATCTTTAATGCAGGATCACCAAATGATTGCATAAATATGTGATAATAAAAGTGCAAAAATCATAAGGCTTCAGCCCGAAAATAGCCACAAAAATTGCAATGTAATTTTTCGTCATTAGCAAAAGTAATTATAAAGTGCGCAATCGAGACCCATAAAACTACAAAACGGACACTCAACTAAACAATAAGATTATTAAACACCATCAAACATCAAACAGACAGCATACTTGATTTGGTTTTGTCTTCCTTTTCGATGCCTAACACTTTCTGCATCAAGCCCAATAACGACGACCCAAACGCGTGGAAAATTAACGTTAAGAACCCAAAACTGATTAAAATCCATAGAAGAACTGTCTTTAGAGTTAATACATTCATTCCTGACCAAAATATCAGTGCAATAAAGCCTCCAACGCCTAAGAGAAGAAGCCATTCTTTTACGTTACCGGGAACCGCCATCTTGAATGTTGTGATGAACTACGCAGCCTGGAGTCTGGAACCATTACTAATTCTTACTCAGGGGTGGTGGGCAAGTAGAAAACATATCTTGACATTTCTTAAAGAAAATAATAATATTCTCATAAATTAATATCATTATTATTACCACTTTTAGACCCAATTTAATAAAATTTTAGACATAAATAGGAGTTTTTACGTTTTATCAATTTACATTTTATCAATATACTTTTTATTTGAAGTGACAAACTGTCCCTCCCCTCCCTGGAGGAATAATTTGCTAACACGATTACACAACCTTCATTATTCAAGATGGCGGCTCTAAGAAGAGTGTGTTCTTCAAGAACTGGACTTCAACGTCTACTCTTTCCTCCCTCTAGACTTGGGAGCTTGAGATTTTTATCTACGGCTCCAGATGACTACGTTTTTGGACTCAATGACCATCAAAGACAGGTATAAATAATTTTTATTTTATATTTTATTTTACTATAAAGTTTATGCCACAGACTGCAACGTAAGCGTGGTCTTAGGAGTACCGGCATTCGTATCTCTCAAATTTGTCCAGAATATCAATATTTTTGTTATGTAATAAATATTAGAAATAGTAAAATAATTAAATGTTTATATTATGTAAAAAAACCCCAGATTTTCAATCTTCAATCGTTCGTTATGGTTGAAAAATTTAGAACCCTTACTAGGTCATGTGTTGAGATATGATGTAAGACTTTTTAGTATCAAGTTATCCAGGGACCCCTTTTATTTATTATCATGGTATGGGAAGTTTTATGGAATCTCAAAATTCATCACGATTAGCCATCAAAATGATTTGTTTTTGCTATATTTAGACCTCAATTTTAAGATCAACAACCAAGGGGCATGTCATTTAATAAGGGGGGGGGGAGGTATGGTTAGTGCAATACTTTTAACAGGTGCACTTTTTGCATACACTCCCCAATTTGCTGTAGAAAGAAATGTTACTCCCTCCCCCCAGGCTCATATAATATGGAAAATTTTGTGCCCCCCCCCCCCCCCACCACAACCACACACACTAAAATACATTATATGAATCAATGAATCGGAGAGCAGCAAGCTTTACCTTTACTTATTCATATAAACAGATAGCAATAACTCCTTGTCCTTTTTGTCAAATTTGTTTTTACTCTGGCTTTCGAAGAAATGCCCAAGGTATAAATTGGGCTTCATTTTTTTTTTTCCATTTTAAGTTAAGAACAATCAACAAAAAATAGTGACCCCCCCCCCTCAAATACTCACAAAAATGTTTTATGGCCCTCCCTCCCTCCCTGCGTCTGATTCTTGCACCAAAAATGACGTGTCTCTGTTTCATTATCAGTTGAGAGAAGCAGCCTACAACTTTTTCCAAAAGGAACTTGCACCATATGCTGATCAGATTGACAAAGAAAATACTTTTACAGGAATGAGGGTAGGTGTCATTATGGAAGGTATGTTTTTTACTGATAGAGGGAGGTCTGGGGGATTTGCAGCAAACTTATTGTAACCCACTCCCATTCACTCAGTAAGAAATTCATTCAGGACCCTGCATTCAGGTCAACAAGGAAACAGCTTTCACTAATTAAAAATAAAAAGGTTTGACCCTTTATTGAAGTTCAAATTAATCTGAACCCCCAAACCCCCCCCCCCCCCCCCCCCAAACAAAACAAAACATACCTTTCCTTAATTAGAGTCCATTGAAAAATACAGTGAAAGCAAAATAGAAAAAAGAAGTCTAGCTCTGTGTTGAAAGAATGGAATAGTAACTTATGATACTATGATACTGTATCTTATCAGAATAAAGAACAATCTTGGAAGTTACATGTAATTTGGCATTATATTTGTCAGTCTCAGATTATCATCTCAGGATGTGAAATCATGTACAAATCCAACTTAATTATTATTTTTCTCTTCAGGAATTCTGGAAAAAGCTAGGAGATCTAGGTTTCCTAGGAATAACTGCTCCAGGTATATATATATTCCTAAATACATACATCTCTTAACAAGCAATAATCTCTAGCTATAGCATAGTATAGAAAGAAGCTATATGTAATATGTGTAACATAACTTGCATAATCRATCAAATGTTTCAAATCAGTCACCTTAAATTTCAGCAAAGTATGGTGGCTCTGAAAGTGGATATTTTGATCACTGTCTTATCATTGAAGAAATGACAAGAGCATCCGCTGCTATTGCTCTTAGCTATGGAGCACACTCTAATTTATGTATAAACCAAATTGTCAGACATGGAAACGAAATCCAGAAAGAAAAATACCTTCCAAAGGTTAGTAATTTATACTTTGGGTCTGCTAGGATTTATGCCCTTGTTTTCAAGGCTTTGGTGCAAAGGGTCTGTGGTTTGAGCCCTGCATGTGATTCCTTGTACATGAGTTGAATTTGTTCATGGGTTATTCTTTCCTATGCTATGAGGGTTTTTTGTAGGGTTTGTCCCATTTTCCTCGCTCCATAAAAAAACACAATTATAATTCAATCTCAGAGGGTACTGTCAGATAACTCTTCGTGGTTAATACCTCTTTACCCTCTTCAAAATTACAGCTATTTATTTCAGTTGAGTGCATACCATATATCTGTAAAAAAGGTAACAAAATTGTACAAATTAGTGCAAAGTTTTGTAGGTTTACGGTCTACTTAGGTCTGCTGAACTTACAAAATTGTGCAATTTTGTGCAATTTCGTACGATGTTTTCACACAGATATATGGTATGCAGTACAGCATATACATGTATTAAAAARAACAAATTGCCATCTCAACAGGGATGCAAATTAATGCATTTCCATGACATTCCTTATGAGCACATGCCAACATGTCATGGAAACACTTTGATTGAAATGTACTTTCTTGCAATGCTCATTGCCCAGTCTCTATCGTGAATCAAGTAAAACTTAATGTGTTTACTAATAAATGTACTGCTGTTATCAGCTGATCAGTGGAGAACATGTTGGAGCACTTGCAATGAGTGAACACAATGCTGGATCTGATGTTGTGTCTATGAAACTCAGAGCAGATAAAGATGGTATGTTATAGCCAGTGTTAATACAAATAACTAGTACATTGTACAGTATTGTTGGAATATGATATTCTTGTGGTGCATGTTACATCATAGCCATCATCTTGGCCATAACAAAGCATTCCTCATTAGCTTCTATTGTTAGTTTAGTCAACATGGTGGCTGTTTTATTGTTATTTATATCTCGAGGGATTTTGAGTCATGAGGTTGTACCCCAAGAATGGTAGCTATGCAATGCTTTTTCATGGCTTACCATGCAATATTCCACTTGTCACTTGTATTTGTCATTGTATACACACTCTCCTAAGGGACTGTTCATTAATAATGCCTAGGGGGGCTTTGAAAAAAAATCACACTAAGAAGGAAGGGGGGGCTTTAATAGTATTTGCTGACTCAAAGGGGGTGGGGGTTGAAACAAATAACTAAGGTATGTCTAAAAGG